GCCAGCATTCTCCCCATTTCCCTGCCACTCCTCGCCTTCTCAGCTTTGCTCTTGGGTAAATGTTGACCGTTTGGTCTCATATGGTTGATCGTTTACAAGAGCACAGTCCTCACAGGTGTTAGTTTATTTATAGGCCAGTTTATTATTTGGCTGAAAAGTGTCTTCTGGGAGTGGCTTCAGTTTCAAGTTAAAAGGGTATCTGAGGACAAGTCTTGGGGGTTCCTCTTGTTTCCATCAGTCCCGTAAGTCTGGTCCTTTTTATGAATTTGAGTTTTGTTCTACATTTTTCTCAGTCTAACCAGGACCTTCTATTGAGTCCCTGGCCAGAATGGTCAATGGTGGTAGTTGGGTACCATCTTGATTTTCTGGTCACATACTAGAAGAGGCTGCGGTTCATGTGGGCCATTAGTCCTGTAGACTAATTTCTTCCTTGAGTCTCTGGGTTTTTTTTTTTTTTTTTTTTTCACTTTTCTTGCTCCGGATGGCAAGACATCAATAATTGGATCTTAGATGGACGTTTGCAAGCTTCCCCCCACCAAAAAAAAAAAAAAAAATCATTTTATTGTGATTTGGAAGTTTACAGAGCAAAGTAGTTTTCCATTCAACAATGTATACACATTTTCTTTTATGACATTAGTTGAGATCCCTCAATGTAACAGCACTCTTCTTGTTCCTTCCTGGGGTCCCCACTTCCGTTCACCCATCTTTCCTGTCCCTTTCTGCCTTCTGAACTTTGCTTTTGGTCAAATGCTGCCCTTTTGGTCTTGTATAAAGAACTCTGGTGGTGCAGTGGTTAAGGAATTTGGCTGCTAACCAAAAAGTTGGTGGTTTGAACCCACCAGCCACTCCATGGAAAACAGATGAGGCAGTCTGCTTCTGTAAAGATTTACTCTTGGAAACCCTATGGGGTTGCTGTGAGTCAGGATTGACTTGACGATGGCAGTGAGTTTGGCTTTTTATGGTTTAGTCTCATACGGTTGATTGTTCTGATCATGTGGTTGATTGTTCCTCATGGGTGTTACTGTTCACTTTATAGGCCTGTCTATTATTGTTTGGCTGAAAGGTGATCTCCAGCAGTATGTTCAGCTCCAAGCTTGAAGGGTGTCTAAGGGCCATAGTCTCAGCAGTACCATTAGGCTTTATTAGACCAGTAAGTCTGGCCTTTTTTATGATTTTGAATTTTGTTCTATATTTTTCTTCCAGGATCTTTTATTATGATCCTGACCAGAGCAGTCACTAGTGGTAGGTGGGTACCATCTAGTTCTTTTGGTCCAAGCCTAGTAGGAGCTCTGGTGGTGCTAAGGCAGGATGAGACATGATGGACCCAGCTTCATCCCAACAAAACTCAGAGAGTGAAAAACCCCTCTGCCCATACTCCCCCTTCCTCCCTCCCATGACCAGCCATCGCTGATATCCTTCTTATCTATGCATGCCAGCCAACTCATACCCCCTCCCATCTCCCCATTTCTTCCCTGCCTGTGCTTGTTCTGCTTCTGTAACACTGCTGGCTTGTGTCCTTGAAAATAACCAACCACCCTTTTATCCCAAAGACCCTGGAAGAAGAGCTCCATAAAAGCCCTATGTGGCCTTTGTTCGGGGCTCAGTCTCTGGATGCAAATCCACTGAGCCCAAGTGCCGGTACAATAAAGTCCTTCCTTTGCATAATCCTGCTCAGCATTAGCTTTTCTCTCGGTGGCTCCAGTAACATTTCAGTGACTAAGGCATGTGACTGCTAACCAGGAGGCTGGCGGTTCAAACCCACCAACCACTCCTCAGAAGGAAGACTGGGCAATCTACTTCCGCAATGATACTGCCTCAGAGACCCCAGGAGGGTTTGCTATGAGTTGGATCCAACTCAGTGGCAGTGACTTTGGTTTTTGGGAAGGCTAGTAGAAGCTGTGGTTTGTGTGGTCCATTAGTCCTTTGGACTAATTATTTCCTTGAGTCTTTTATTTTCTTCATTCTTCTCTGCTGTAGATGGGAAGAGGCCAATCACTGTATCATAGATGGCCAGTTGCAAGCTTTTAAGATCCCAGTCGCTACTTACCAAAGTAAGATGTGGAACATTTTCTTTATGGACTATGTTATGCCAATTGACCTAGATGCTCCCAAGACTATGGTCTTAAGCCCTCAAGCCCAATGACCCAGTCCCTCAAGGTGTTTGGTTCTGGCTAAGAAGTTTGTATAACTTCGCCCTCTGTATGCTCTACTAAAAAGAAAAGAAAAGCCGAACTCACTGCCATCAAGTCGATTCCAACCCACAGCAACCCCCTTTGGGTTTCTGAGGCAGTAAATCTTTACTGTAGATTGCCCAGCCTTTCTTCTGCAGAGCGCCTGGTAGGTTTGAATGCCAACCTTCTGATTAGCAGTCAAATGCCTTCAGCACTAGGCCACCAGAGCTCCTTATACCTGAGCTACTATATACCTGGATGTATTTGGAACACATAAAAATACCTACATAAAAATATCCTCTGCTAAGCCTATATATGCTTGTGGGTGTACTCCCATATGTCAACCCACACCTGTTCAGTTTACACAGCTACCTATGTATCTGCTTATGAGTTACGTTTGTTATTACTGTTATTGTAAGATTGTGTATGTAATGGTATTTACTATTATTGGCTTTTACTCTTACATACCTCTTACTCTTCTTTTGCCTTGGTCATGTTGTGCTGACCTCCCCCTTATTGTGTACTGCCTTTCCCTTCATCCAAGTTAATACATGTTTACTGTATAGCTAGTGATTTTTCTTCCCTCTCCCTCCCATCCCTGGTAACCATCAAAGAATGCTTCTTGCTGTGTGCAAACTTCACAAGCTTTTAAGACCCCAAACGCTACTCACCAAAGTAGGATGTAGAACATTATCTTTAAGAACCAAAGTATGCCAGTTGACCTAGCTGTCCCATGAGACTATGGTCCAGAGCCTTTAAATCCAGTAAATCAATCCCATGAGGTGTTTGGATACATCTAGGACATATGTCTAACTGTGCCTTCTATGCCACTTGACTTTCTAAACAAACTCAGCTTAAATTTTCACCATGTGTCCAGGTTATCATTTGTTATGCTAATGAAGGAACTCTGAGTCTGGAAATGCTGGGTGGTGCAGACAGTTAATGCCCTCAGTTGCTAGCCAAAATGTTGAGGTTCATGTCTACCCAGAGAAGCTCAGAAGAAAGGCCTGGTGATCTCCTTCTGACAACTCAGCCATTGGAAACCCTGTGGAGCACATTTTGACTCTGGCACATAAAGCATCACCATGAGTTGGAATCAACTAGTTAGCAACCAGCTGTTTTTAAAAATGAGTCTACACATGAAAAGCGAATGGACCTTCATACATCAATGCTTTGCTTTCAGCCAGCTGCATGATCAATCCAGAGGACTGCACAACCGACACAGCTTCTATAGCAATCGTCATCAATCACCAGGCTTGCTATACCTGCCAGACAGCCAGGCCACAGTCCAGTTCATGGCTGCATGGGCCCTAGATAAGGTCTAGGGCCACAATGGTAAAGCTGCAGGTTTTTAAAGGCTTTTGCTACAGATACCACCCCTCATTTGAGCCCACTTGGCTCTTTTGCCTACACCTTAGTGTTTTCCAGTCTGATAATCCTTCAAATTCAATGCTTTATAGAATAGAAAATGAATTGGTTTTCCTTTTCTGTCACTGTTGTAAGTTCCACACAGAGTTTACTCAGACTGAAAAACATCTGTATTTATCAGAGAAACCGAATCACTGAGTGGACCTATAGTGTTCATTGTGATGACTGCTCTCCACAGATGACAAAGCACACAGGGCTCCCAGATTCCTGATGTGAGCAAGAAGCCTAGCAATTCTGTTAGTTGAATGGAGTTGCATTATTTAAACTTACATTACATTTTTCCAATTAGAAACAGTCAGAACTTAATGAAATTATAACATGTATTGTGAAATATTTGGGGAGTGACCTTATCTGTTCTATTTCCGCCTCAGTTGGCTGAGTTAAAATCCAGTTCCTACTAAAAGTCTTTAAAACAAGTAACTGTTAACTATGATAATACTTCTCCCTGATTAAATAAAGAAAAAGGGCTGGGGCTTTGCCTGAAAGGACATCATGTCGGAAGTCAGTTTGGTTTTGATTTCATTAAAGCCGTAAAACACGGGTGGTTAATGTGAGTGAGGGTTGCCGTCTTCTAGAAATGCACTAAGACTTACCTGGACAGGGCGTTGCCTGACAGGACCTATATTTAGGATTAGGAGGTAGTTGTGATTTGGATTGAAATGAATTGCCTGTTCTTTAAGAATTCTTCAGCAGTTAATCTGGATCATTCCCATTCATTCCTCTACAGAGCAGAAGGCAGACCTTTCCACCTACTTCCCTAACTCTGAAGACTCAAGTTTGTCCTACAGATGTTGGCTTGGATGCGGATGAGCCCAAGGGACTCTAAACTTTGAGTTGAATTTATCCGTTTTCTGGATACTAGTAAATCACTCTTGCCTCAAGCAGTCGGCTAATCTTCGCTTCAAAGGAGGCTGAAGAGTGAATTATTTACCAAAAGCGCAAAAGGTTCATCCTCTCCCAGAGGACAAAACCAGAACTGGAGGGCTTTATTACTCACCCTCTCTTAGCTATAAATTATGTCACTCAGATGCTTTTGAAAGCTTCTCCTCCTGCTCTTGCTTGAGTCATAAAACTTGATACCTGAGGCCAAATGCCTTTATCCCCCATGAAGGGTGAAGAAGATGAAAAGGCAGCAATTCTGGGTGGGTACCACCCAAAGCAGGCGACTGGCCAGAAAACTTGGGCAGGTAAGAGAGTCACCGTACCCAGTTCACACCTTCTTGGCATGGTGGTCAACTCTGAAATTAATGTCATCATTTGTATATAACCAGCGACCTTCTAAAACCTGAATTAGCTACTTCAGAAACACTAGGTTTACCCAATACTACCAGTTAGATTGTTCTCATTACTTTCAACATTGGGATTTGAGATTTTGTGCATTTCCTTAAACCAGATACTCACCTGGAGAGGGTTTGCTGGGGCCTGTTTTCTCTGGTTTCTTTGGCGTCATGGTGCTTTTATGTTTCTGTTTGACTGATGTTTGATCAATTGCTGGAAGTTTGGAATCACATTTAACCGAGGAAGTCTTGGCAGATAATCTTTGTTCGGCATGAAGGTCCTCCTCACCAGAACTCTACCGAAAATGAAAGGTGTCTGAGTATCAGTGACCAAGAATGTCACCTTCAGTAGACAGAGAAAAAAACGAGGCAGAGAGAGTGACCCCTCCAGCAACAATCCTGGGGCATCCTGCCATGCTAAATATACCCTTCTGCTAGGGAGACTTGATCGACAGGACATCCCAACTTGGAAACAGCAGCGAATGCATCTACTCTGTAGAACAACAGGGGAACAATGCATTTCTGATCCTTAAGTAATTGGGTGACCAGTGAGCAGCTCATGTTCAAAGTCACATAGGAAAATAGGAGAAACAATTAGTGTTCTTTGCTGTTTGTGATTTGAACTGCTTTGGGGTAAAATGTCCCTTAAGTTCATCATAAACTTGACAATGCAAAGAACATTTAGACAGTGTGGTGGGAACTGGGTAAATCAGACCTTAGTTACAATATTCTAATTATGGGGTACAACATAACAGTTTTTAAAAGTTCCTACTTACCTGTTTTCCACAAAGTCAGTATAAATCTCTAGGCGGACAAATATGATCCCTGCTGTGTTAGAATACCCCAGCACAGCCTCTCATACGCAATAAAAATCATCCAGGCATTCAACGGTTTTATGCTTTGCCACACTTATACCCACCAAGGAGCCCTGGTGGTGCAGTGGTTAGGCACATGGCTGCTAACCCAAAAGGCCGATGGTTTGAACCTACCAGCCACCCTGTGGGAGAAAGAGGTGGCAGTGTGCTTTCTGTAAAGGTTTACAACCTCGGAAACCCTAGGAGGCAGTTCTGCTTTGTGCTATAGGGTCCGACGAGTCGGAATTGGCTCCACAATGTTGGGTTTGCTTTGTTTTGTTCTGATATACTCACCAAAACAATAGAAATGATTTTATATTGAAAACAATATAAATGACTATCACAAACCTGCGCCTAAAGGGTGATTTAAATCCAGCTTCGTAGCGCCTGAGGCACTTGACTGCTCACCAGAAGGCTGGCGGTTCAGACCCACCAGCCACTCCTCTGAAGGAAGGTGGGGCAATCTACTTCGTAGTGATACCGCCTCAGAAACCCAAGGAGGGGTCGTCGCTATCAGTCAGAACTGACTCAACGGGCAATGAGTTTTTTTTTTTTTTTTCCAATTGTGTTAGGTCCTGGTGTTAGTCTGATTTGCTAGAGTTACATATTCTGCAACAAACACCCTGGGGAGCTGTCCCTAAGTTCTCTGACCTTGTATCCCTTGGGGGTGTGGGGGGGACAAACTGTTTGCCGTGGGGTCAGTTCTGACTCATAGCAGCTCATGTGTTCCAGAGCAGAACTGCACTCCACCGCGTTTTCAAGGCAGTGACCTTTCAGAAGCCGATCGCCAGTCTTTTCCTCTGAGGCATCTGGGTGGGTTTGAAACACCAACTTCTCAATTAGTAGTTGAACACTTAACGGAGCCAACCAGGGATTCCTTACAGTGCTGTTAATCCTAAAATGAAAAGTCCTCTGACAACGTGGTCCTTTGCAGACATGGAATGCTAAGTTAACGTCCTCTGCAGGCCCCCTCCCCCAACTGTTGCAAGTTGTATTGATCTTGCTGATCCTCTCCGTTGACAGTTGTGGCATTTTCATTTCACAGGCTGCTGACTCAGGAAAGTACTCTGAATAGCTCTGAATTATTGGGCACAACCTAAGACAAACTCAACTCTAAAAAGCCCCTATGCGTCTGTCTTCTATAAAGAAGTCTGAATAAATCTACAGATAGAGAGATCATTATCCTTCTAGATGATAAATCACGGTTTATAATTTAGAGTCTGGATGTAGTCTTCAAATAATTATTGTTTCTCTGTATATTTTCAGAAAACAGACCACACTAACATAAAGGGAAAGGAAGAGGACAGTACATAATATATTCACTATTCTTCCTTCCCCTCTTGATTCTGGAATTTAATGGAAATCCTTGAAAATTTCTAAGGTGTCAAAGGTGAAACATTAGGTCATTTAAAAATATGAGATGTTGTTATGTGCCCTTGAGTCGGACCCGGACTCATAGCGACCCCTCCTTAGGTTTCCGAGGCAGTATCACTAGGAAAGTAGATTGCCCCATCTTCCTTCCGAGGAGTGGCTGACGGCTTTGAACTGCCAACCGTCTGGTTAGCAGTCGAGTGCCTTAGGCACTACGCTACCAGAGCTCCTAAAATATGAGATAGGTTCTTCACTCCCAGAAAAGGAAATGTGGGCAGATTTTAATTATGACGCTTCAGATTGTCGTCATAATTGGATCCTAGAAGGCATGGACAAAGACATCATTAGTAAGCGTGGGACAGAATTTCTTGTGTGAATTGCCCAACACAAACAGCTCACATAAGTGGGAGAAGAAGCCTGTTCACACAAGGCCCTGCTCTTCAGGTCCATGTTCAGTCAGCAAAGAGGCAGGAAAGATGTTCTGTGCTAAGGTTACTGGCACCTGTGGCAACAGCATCAGGAGCAGATGTCTGCTAATGTTAATGTGGGTCCATCCCCATCACCCCCAGTGGCTGGAATCCTCTGCTTGCCCCTAGGCAGTGGTGAGTTGGGAGGGGTTAGTGAAGAGACTCTTTATTGGGTGGTAACCCATGTTTAAGGAGCCCTGGTGGTGCAATGGGCTCTGCTGTCAACCAAAAGGTCGGTGTTTCCACCCACCAGCTGCTCCCTTAGAGAAAGCTGCAGTAGCCCACTTCTGGAAAAGATTACAGCTTTGGAAACCCTGTGCGACAGTTCTACGCTGTGCTGTGTGGTCACTATGAGTTGGACTCTACTTGACAGCAGTGTTTTTGGTTTGGTTAATGTATGGACCAGGCAGTGTTTCATTCTGCTGTACACGAGGTCATGAGTCGGAGATGACTTGACGGCACCTAACAACAACAACAACAAAGTATGGGATTGCACATTTTATTCAGGCTCCTGGGTAGAGCCATCAACCTTATTGCCAGGTGGCAACCATTCTTAAGAGTCTAGAAATTATAGCTGTAAGTGAATGCTTCCTCAGTTGGAAACTAAAGCCACAGTGAGAAGAACTACAGTGCTTAAGCATGTGTTACTGAATCTTTTCTTGCTTGCCTTATTGAGTATTCTTAAACAAATCATTTAAACATCATGCATCTTTCTTCATGTTGTCTCATGTTCTCAAACAACTATCCTCCTTCATGGAAACCAGTCATATTACCCTCTCCCAGCAGAAGGATGGCGGTTCAAACCCACCAGCCATTCCTCGGAAGGAAGGTTGGGCAATCTACTTCCGTAGCGATACTGCCTCGGCAACCCAAGGAAGGGTCGCTATGAATCAGGTCTGATTCGATGGCACATAACAACAACAACAACAACAACAACACAGGGTAGAAGTTCATTCTGCCATGAACATGTGGTATTTAAGACTCCCTGGGAGTGAATCACTTGGCTCTTCCATATGTGACAATGGGTCATTAATCTCTCTGTCTCAAATTTTCTTATCCTTCAACAATAGTAGCATAGGAGCTCTGGTAGCGTAGTGATTAAGGCACTTGACTTCTAACCAGAAGGCTGGCAATTCAAACCCACCAGCCACTCCTCAGAAGGAAGGTTGGGCAATCTACTTCCGTAGTGATACCACCTCGGAAACCCTAGGAGGGGTCGCTATGAGGCGGGTCCAACTTGACAGCACATAACAACAACAACAATAGTATCTACCTTTTTGTTGTTTGTATAGATACCACTTAGAAGAGTACTGGACACGTAATAAGTGCCACGTAAGTGTTAGCTTTTATATTTAGTCATTAATTCATGTTCAGCCATTTAACAAAACTGACTAGCTAATTACTGAGCACTTCTGAAACTGAAACCAAAAGCTCCAATTAAAAAGTTCCATTGGATTTCATCTATCCCAGAGAGCCATGAATGGAGAGCTGGGTCGGTTCTTATACCCGACTCTCAGTTTCTTCTTAAGGCTATATAATTTATGATAATCTTACAAATAATGGCTTGAAATTTATCTAGTCTTAAGAAAATATGGTACAATTTTTTTACACAGTAAATGGCAAATAAATAACACCATTTAGAGATTATCAAACAAGAATAATGAAACTATTTTTATTTAAGGTTTATTTTTAAACTGTGCTTTTTCCACTTGTAATTTTGAACAGTAATTAAAATTTTCATTTCGTCTCCCATATGTTCATAGGTTGAAATGTCACGTGGAGGTGGAGGCAACAGCATGCTGCTATTCCTTTGGGGGAAGGAAATCAACTCTATCTTTCACAATCAAAGCCTATATGACATTAAAAAGAAAACTTACATGATATATGAGTAGACTTTAAATTCTCTATTGAGAATTTGCTGAGAAAGTCCTATTAATGCCAGGTTAACCAGAAGAAGTTACCATTGAAATTAATACTTTATGGAATATTATTTTTATATTTAACATTTGCCAAAGATCTCCAACTTGCTCTCCTGATATCGTACATAATAAAGCAGAGTTGCTACTGTTGCCCAGGACTAGCCTCTCTCAAAAGTTCAAAGACTCACTCTGGGAAGAGAAGACACTTACATTCAGGGAAGGCAAATGTCATTGGGTAGTGTAGTAAGGACTTAGTAACATTGTAACAGTTCTAGTTAGACCTCTTGGGAGATGGAGACACAAAGGCTAGGAGGTGCAATGTGTTTCTTCAACAACAGGAGAATCACTAGGTTTTTTTTTTTTTTTAATTTGGGTGAAATTTTACAGAGTAAATTCATCTTCCATACAGCAGTTCACATACACTTTGTCTCATGACATTGACTGCAATCTCCCATAATGCAACAGCTCTCCTCCCACTTCTTCCCCATAGTTACCTTTTCCCTGTGCCCTTTCCTCCCATGCACTCCTGCCCCCTGAGCTGTCTCCCTGTACATACACAGCCCTTCTATTCTCCCATGATTGTTCTCTCTGAGGACTGTATCTACCTAATTGTAAATGTTCAGCTCATATGCCTGTTATTTGTTTGGCTAGAAGCCACAGGAGTGGGTTCAATTCCAGGGCAGCT